CAGGAGGACCTATGGGAACTACAGGGGTGGGAGATTGTCCCCTGGGAATCTCTCACTCCCACTCACCATTCAGGTCTTCAGCATAACAGTAGACATCATAGAGGTCATCTGGGTCTACCACACCGTAGTTCCGGACCCCGGGGAAGCCATCCATGTCTCCATAACAGGCCTCTCGTGGGGTCTGGATAGGATACCTGGGGACGACGGACAGAATCACTTAGTACAGATGCCTTCACCAGAGAGCCAGCCCATACTGACTCTCCTGAGTCCCACTGCCCCCTCAGTGCAGCCACTTGCAGACAGCTGGCCGTCCTCCCAGCTCTGCAGGGATGCACATGCTTGGGGTCCTCCCCTCCCCTCCTCAGACCCGTCACATCCCCCAGAGGCAGAGAGCCCTGTGTGCCCAGCCTGATGCAGCAGGCAGCACCTGGCAGAAGGGGGGCCGTGGCCACCGCAGGAGACAATAGAAGCCCCAGTTCAGAGCCCCAGTCCACAGCCCCAGCCCACCTCACGGTCTGATCCGACAGCCAGCCAGCATCGCATTGCTCATAGCCTCCAAGGTAGGCGGCGTAGAGCTGCTCCGGAGTGGCGATGTGGGCTCCGATGCGGGCACAGGCCTCCTGGGCCCCAACAAAAGAGAAAGCGTAGCGGGCAGAGCCCTCTCGGTAGAGAAAGACGACCCCTGTGGGGCAGAGAGGACCCCTTAGCCAAGTGACCACCCAGCACACCACTGGCCTCCCCTCACCCTCCTTGTCACTCCTCTGTACACAGGGGTAAAGTTCAATTGTGCTCACTCTACAGCATGAGGGACTCAAGTTAGACTGCGGGCAGAATTTCCTCCACCTGAAGAAAGGAGGCAACAAAGGCCTGTGTCTACCTCCTCACTCTTTTTCCAACCCAGGCTGCGCCTTCTAGCTACCTTTGCTTCCCCCTTACACTGTGGCGCCCCTCCCCGCCCCCAGAGCAAGAGTCCTCCCTTCCCTGGCTTCCTCACTCCGGGAACCTCCCTGCCCTCTCACCTTTGACCTTGACCTCCACCGCGTCGCTGCTGTCGTCGATGCCGTGCTGGACCTCGCAGCGGTAGATGCCTGAGTCGTTGGGACGCAGCTCGCTCAGCGCCAGGGAGACATCGGTGAGCGACGCGGGGTACGCAGGTAGTGCCACGCGGAACCGGTAGGCCTCGTTCACCTTGACGCGCACTCCCCGCGCCACCAGCACCTCTGCCTCCCGGCCCCCGGACAGGAAGGTCCACTTGACCCGCGGAGAGCCCAGCACCGCCCTGCGGCTTGGCGGCGGCCGCAGGTAGTGGACGTGGCACGGGATGGTGAGGGCGCCGCCGAGCACGCCCTGCAGCGGCGCGTCGCCGGAGATGCGCACGCGGAAGGCGCGGTCCTCTGTGAACGGGTGCAGCCGGATGGAACTTCGCGCTGTGGACCCTCGGAGTCCCACCCGGTGGCCTCCAAGCCCCGCTCCAGGATCCCTCCTTCCTCCCCAGGATTCCCTGCTCCCCCTAGGACCTGGGGCCAGGGTCCTGCAGCCCTATCTCTGGGTCCTCCAGGCCCACCCCCACGGTCTCCAGACCCATCCCCCAAAGTCTCCCAGTCAATGCTGCCCCAGGATTCCTTGTCCTGCTCTCAGAGTCTTCCACTTACCCTCCAAAATTCCCAGACCACAGCCCAGGGTCCTCTGACCTCACCCTCTGGGTCCTCCGACCACACCCCCTGGGTCCTCCAGCCCAGTTTCCCAGTCTATTCCCTTAGGGTCTCCTTCAGGGTTTCTCCCATTTCCACCCCTTTCCTGCCTCCTAGTTCCAGGGTCCCCCATCCCTCACCTGAGAGACCCAAAGCCTTGTCCCAGCGCCCCTCCCTAGTCCTGCCCCAGGAATCCTCCACCCCACTAGACGCTCACAGCTCAGCCCTTATTTCCAGGTGTTCCAGCCTGGACCCTTCTCCACAGCCCTCCCAATTCTCTCTCTTCCTGGGACCGCTGAGCCTGGAAGCAGCTGGTTAGGGCTGAACAAGACAGAGATGGTGACCCCAAGTGGGGTGGCTTACCTGAGCTGTCTCCTTCCAGAACATCTGCTAGGGCTGCAGGAACCTGGGCCAGGACCAGGGCTGCCAGCAGGGGCAGGAGCAGCTGAGCCATGCCGCAGGCTCACGGAGGGACTAGAGAAGGAAAGACCGGGTAGACTTCAGGACTGACTTCCTCTGGTCCCCTACCACACCCACGTGGGTTCGCACATATCCTGGCTCCAGAAGCCCCCTACCTTCACATCACCGTGAACTCTCTGTTTCTGATCCCCATCTTCCCACCAAGGGATTTCTTCTCAGAACCAAAACCCAAGTCCTAGTCAACTCACTATGTGACCTAAGCCAAGCTCCCTACTTTCTCTGGGGCTTTATTTTCTTGTTCTTTTTTTTTTTTTTTTTGAGACGGAGTTTCGCTCTTGTTACCCAGGCTGGAGTGCAATGGCTGGATCTCGGCTCACCGCAACCTCCGCCTCCTGGGCTCAGGCAATTCTCCTGCCTCAGCCTCCTGAGTAGCTGGGATTACAGGCACGTGCCACCATGCCCAGCTAATTTTTTGTATTTTTAGTAGAGACGGGGTTTCACCATGTTGACCAGGATGGTCTCGATCTCTTGACCTCGTGATCCACCCGCCTCAGCCTCCCAAAGTGCTGGGATTACAGGCTTGAGCCACCGCGCCCGGCTATTTTCTTGTTCTTGTTTTTTTTTTTTTTTTTTTTTTTTTTTTTTTTAAGACAGTTTCACCATGTTGGTCAGGCTGGTCTTGAACTCCTGACCTCAGGAGAGCCACCCGCCTAGGCCTCCAAAGTGCTTGGATTACAGGCATAAGCCACCGCACCTGGCCCTATTTTCTTGTTTATAAAAAGGCATCATTATCACTACCTCATGAGTGTGATAAGATGGGACCATGTGCTGTGAGAGTGTTTTGTATCTTAAAACTTCTGTACTAATGCACAGCCCCAGGCACACAGTAGGAACTCAGCATATAGCATGAACGGTGGGTGCTGTTATACTCAGAATTCCATCTGCTCCTCCCAGTGCCAGACTCTGTCCTCGAACCCAGAGCCTCCTCCCACAGTACCTCTCTAGCCTTCCCTGACTGTCCCTGCCTCCGTGGACACCATACTCACCTGACTTCTTCCAGGAGGGCCTCCTAGACTGAACCCAAGCAAGCACAGCTTCTCCCGAGTCTACCCTCTCCTCTACCTCCTCCCCACCATTACTTGTAAGGAAACTTTTCTCTTTACTCCCCAGCATCCTCCATCCCCCTTCCTTGGCTGCCTCCTCCCTTCTTCTTCCCAGCCTCTCCTTTCTGCCTGGCACGGGCTTTCCCACCGGAACTCCTGGCTCAGAAACCAGCTGGGACAAAGCCCCTGTCTCTGCCAGTCTGGCCTCCATCCAGCCCCTCCCTTCCCCCACCCCACCTTTTGTGAAAGCCTTGGGCTGGAGGGTGGACTGAGGGGGGTGAGAATAAATGTGAGGGGCCACCCCTTTCTACCCCTGGCTATCAGAAGCTCTGGAACCCAGAATATTCCTCCAAAGATCTCAAAGCATTTACACTCTCATAAAAGGGACACAGTGTGACACTGAGAAATGGAGACATAGGCTCAGAGGGTAGTGCTGACCCTGGATCCCTGGCAAAGCCAAGTCAGGCACCAGGGCAATGTGCTCCCAGGAGAGGAGGCCCAGAGCTAGTGTCCAACGTCATCTTTAAGGGTTGGGCTAAACTTAGGAGAGCATGGAGATCCAGGTCTGCCATGGAATAGGCCAATGATGCAGCAAGAGGATTGAAGGTTAGACTGCAGGCAGGACTTCCTAGAGATCAGGTTTATTCCACTGGCTATGTACTCCTACTCCAGGCCCACTGTTGATCCCCCATGATCCCCTACCATCTCAGGTTCTGCCTTCATACCTGCCCCCCACTTTCCTAAGCCTGAGCTGATGGGAAATTTCCTACTTTTCCCAGATCCTCCCACCTGCTTGCCATCATAACTTCATCTCTCCCACTGTGCCTGGGCATCATTCCCTCAGGGTCAGAGTTGGGGGAGGAGTGGCACAACCAGATGTTTATGGCCTCTCTCTGACCTTGGAGAGGTAGGAAGTTCTTGATGGGGCCAGATTAGAGGTGCTGAGATCAGCTTCAGGCATGGGGGCACTTGGGATGACTATTCTGGGGCTGGAGTGGGGACCATTCAGCCAGTGCCTGCTGCGTGCTGGGAAGACTGTTTGCCATGCATCTGAGCAGTGCCAGAGCCTGGGCCTGGTCCCCTTCTGGAGCCCTCCCTCCCTTCTCTCTGGGCTAGAGCTGGAGCTGCTCACAGATCTGGCTCCCAACTCTCTGGCAGCGGCCCAGAAACCCATATAGTTGGAGTCACTTTGGGGCCAACACCCTGGGCCACCCTTTCACCTCTGATCTGACAGTGGGAGAGTGAGGGAAGAGGGTCTGAGGCCAATGAGGACCTAACTGCTCTGGAATATGGAGGGCCACCTGTCCCTGATCCCAAGAATGGGAGTCACTGACCAGAGAGGCCAAGAGGGTAACCCCACGAGGTTCTCAGAGAGCTCTGTTTCCCCAGGCTTGGGCTTCAGCCCTCCCGGATGCAGCTAGAAACCCTGATGAAACTGAGACTTCCCCACATCTGGTGCCAGCCTCGGAACCAGGGGTCCAGGGTTCTGTGGCCTTCTCTATCCCACAGACCACTCACCTCCACACCGTCTTCTCCTCCTCCAGAGCAGGGCACACCACTCTGTCTCTAACCCTGAGAGCTCAGCAGTCATGCTGTCCCTTCCCCTGACTCCACAACACCCCCTCTCTGTTTCTGCTCCAGCTTCTGGATCTCTGCCCTTTTTCTGAATTTCTCGAGCTGTTCAGGAAACTTTCCTCTTATTACATCATCATTTCTGTTTGACCGTGGATGGATGTCCATCTCCCTCACAGTCTTCATAGACCCAACCCAGAGAGTTAAGACCAGGCTCTGTGTGTTCCGTGTGTGTATGTGCAGGCATGCACATGTGTACACACACCTAACCATGCTGGACCACCCTCCACGCTGAATGCCCATCAGCTGGCAGCCAAGGTCTGTCCCACAGGAACTGAGTTCCAGCCCTCAGCAGGGGCAGCAGGGAGGTGCAAGAGGTCAGAACTTTGCCCATAGCAGGAGGGAAGCTCTCCGTTACCCGCTTAATGGCTTCATGAGAAGCAACATGAGCCTACACGATATCAGCGATATCAGCAGGGCCTTAGGGCCTGTGGGAGTAATTGCAATCATTATATAAATAGTCCTTTTTATTGGAAGCACAACTAATAATACTATTAGCAACATCACCAGCCGAGCTGTTATACATCCCTCTCCTGCAGAATCTGAAAGGTGGATGGTGCTGTTATAAATAACAAAGTCAGCCAGAACGACATAGGCACTGGTAATGCTGTGGGTGGGTCTATGGGTAACACTGTTCCCTGATCTTACTGTTCTCATCTGCAATCTAAGTAATGCGGATAATAACGGTGCCCCTCCATACTGATGCCAATGTCTTGGTCCTATTAGAACCATGTAGGCAGAGCTATTCTAATAAGTGGGGGAATGCCTGATAGGATATGGAAATACCTGGCAGAGGGAATTCCCAGGTCCCTGGCAGTGCTGGGAATGCAAGAGGGAATGCAAGAGTGCGAATGGAATTCTGGCTAGCAGTTACTGACGTCTACCCCAGGCAGTTCTCCTAAATGCTTCCCGTGGATAACCTCAACTGTGAGAAAAAGATTGTTTATATTCCGCTCATGACACCGATGAGGACTCCGAGGTTCAGGTGGGTCAACTAAGTGCCCCAAGGTCACAGAGCAAGGTGCGGAGTTTGGATTGCAGCCGAAGTCAGCGCCCCGACCACCCCTTACAGCGGCTCTGACCGGTTGTCCTGCCCGGCTACAGTAAGGTGTCCCCAGAAGGGCTGCTGGCCGCTGCTCCTCCCGCAGAGCTGCCTGCGCGTGGGGCACGGAGGCAGGGACTGATCCGGATCGCTGCCGCCATGCCCCGGACAAGGTCGGAAACCTCTGGGACAGGAGAGCGCAGCAGGGAAGACGCGAGGACCCGAGGGGCTGCAGATCAGACTGCGAGCAGCGCGGGGGGCTGCCACCCCGCAGAGCTGGAAGCTTGTAGGTCCGAGACGGCAGCAGCAGCTCCCCGGGTGCTCGGGGCTGGCCGACCGCCTACCCCGCCGCGGGGTCAGGAGTCTACGCGTTGGGTGCCCCAGAGCCTCGAGGCAAGGGCCGGGAGGCCGGGGGGCGGGTGCGGGGGGCGGCGCGGACCAGGTGGGCACTCCCCTCCCTCTGTCCCTCGCCCCAGGGCGGGCGGCAGGGCTGCGGAGGCACTCACCTACCCCGGGCTCGGGTTGGGGCGCGGCACTGCGAAGTTTGTCGCCTCCTCCGGGGGTCTCCTCCCGGTCCACGGCTCGGTCCTGCAGCTGCAGCTGAGACTGCGGCGGAGACTGCGCGGGCGCAAGGAGAGGCTGGGGCCGCAGGACCTTCGGAAGGCGCCGCACAAAACCCCCTTTCTTCCCCCCGCCCCTGCCCCGCCCTCCCCGGGGCCGCCCCCGCCCCCTGGCCTGGAGCGCGGGGGGCTCGGGATGGTCACGGGACCCGCTGCCTTCTCTGCGTCGGTTCCCGGCGGCAGCGGCGAGAGCAAGGACGAGCGAAGTAGGACATCGTTCCGGGGATGAGAAGCCGAGGACTTGGAGTAGGGAGGAGGGGCAGGAGGGGCGGGGAAGGAGCGTTCGCCAAGCGTTCGCGGAGCTAGAGGATGACGATGTTGCAGCTGGAGGGGTGGAAGTTGGACAGCCGGAGGGACTTCTCTTTGGTCCATGAAGGAGGAGGGATTCAGTTAGACTGTAGGGAAGTGGATGAAGGGAGAATGGGGGCTTTGCTCCTGAAAAGAGACACCCTTCCCAATAAAAACGCAAAGTTCGTTTCTGGAGGCAGAATGGGGTGCAAATGACCCTGGAGGCAGCTATGATTGGGCTTTGGCTCCTATGATGCTCCCACTCCCTGCACAGAGGAGGAGCTGACTTTGCAGCTGAAAGGATGGAGGTTAGACAGCAGAACCATAGGTTAAGCACAGCCAAGTCAGGAAATCTCCAGACCTGGGATGGGGGTGGGGTGTGGTGCCGCTGTGAAGGGACATTACCAGTCATGCAAACCAATGTGCAAAATGCAGGCGTTGCCGGGAGCCCAGAAGGCCTACTGGCCAGGGCTGTGGATGCTGAATGTGCAGCCTGATGCCAGGGGGTGGGCCTTGATGCTGCCCAGCCAGGAACTCCTCAGCGCCCAGAATACCAATGACTCCTTTCCCCCAGCTCCAGCGCCTCTGTTTCCTTCTCCTTTCCCAGGCTCTCTTTGCCTTTCCTCCTCCCTCCTGAGTCTGTAGGCAAAGCCCCTGGCACGGACAGTAGGCAGGACAGCCAGATGCCTAGATTCCCTCCCCTGGATACCAATGTTGGCACCAAGGATAGCTTTGGAGGGCTTTGATCCATATAATCTCCACAGCATCTTCAAAATACCCCAAGTAAAGTGAGGTGCGCTCAATGCACATGCAGTTCAGGGCAGGACCCCAGTCTGCCATCTAGACTGCACTCTAGGCCCCTCCTGGGAACTCTGGATGGCTCCCCACTGAATGTGCCAGCACCCCTACTCACCACTGCCTGGCTTTCACTCCCAGTGCTATGGACTTGGTTCCAAACGGCTTTGAGAAGCTCACAAAAAAAAAAAAAAAAAAAAAAAGACACCCACTCCAAATCCTTGAGGATCTAAAGAGAAGATTCTGGCCCCTACCCAGAGACCCATCTACTGTAGGGCCACGACAAGAAGACCCGGGCTGTAGGAGGGGTGGATGGTAAATTTCCTTACTAAGAAAAATGCTGGCCGGTCGCAGTGGCTCATGCCTGTAATCCCAGCATTTTGGGAGGCCGAGGTGGGTGGATCACCTTAGGTCAGGGGTTCAAGACCAGCCTAACAAACATAGTGAAATTCTGTCTCTACTAAAAAAATACAAAAATTAGCTGGATATGGTGGTAGGTGCCTGTAATCCCAGCTACTCAGGAGGCTGAGGCAGGAGAATCGCTTGAATCCGGAAGGCGGAGATTGCAGTGTGCCAAGATCGCACCACTGCACTCAAGCCTGGGTGACAGTGCAAGACTCCATCTCAGAAAAAGAAAAGAGAAGAAAAGAAAAATGCCCCAGGCAGGGATGCAAGACTGAAAGGGACAGAGGAAGGTGCCTGGGAGAGTCTGGGGTGGAAGGGACCTCAATCTATTCACTTTGTTAAACAAATATGAGTTGAACTGAATTCCAACTGTGGACCAGGAACTGCACGAGGCCTGGAAATGAAGTTCCAATTCTTCTAGTAGAAAGAGGGGATCTGAGAAGGCCTTTGGGGACAGGTCTGGGCAGCCTTAGGATATCTTTTTGCTCTCCTTAGAGCTCAGGAAAATCCTCCTTCCCAGGACCATCTCAGCACGGATGCATGTGTCATCTACGGGCTCTACAGGGCTTGAGGCCAGCCAGGCTGAGCCAGGCAACCAAGTGGCTGAAATTTAATCCCAGTGGTGGTTCAGATGCAACCACAGTTCTTGCCTCAGGGAAACCTGGCTGTGACCAGAGAATGTGGAGAAAGTGACCTTCCTTACCACCTCTCCTCATGACCAGAAGTGTTGGCACTCATTTCGGCGCCCTGGGGGAGTCCATCCTTGACTGAGGCCAGCAGCACTTGGGTCTGGACAAGGGCTGGTACCAGACAGTCTGTTCCAAGAGGCAGATCCCTGGTGGGAGACCAGACATGGTGAGAGAACAGACAGCTGCTGTTGCGAACATGAGGACTCTGGTATCACTGGCACTGAAGTCAAATTCCTGTTTTGTCAGTTGCAGTAGCAAACCTCGGAAAGGGCCCAGTTCCTCTGAAACTCTCACTTCTGAACAACAGGCTAATAATATCTATTGCACTGGGCAATATCTACTGTACCTGGACTGGGCAAGGGACACCCCTGGCCCATGACTTGGGCTCAGCAAAATCTAGTTCTTTTCCTTTGCCAATCACACACACACATGCACGAACACGTGGCAATCTAATCTGCTCAGATACCCTGGCCAGGAGGACAGGAGGTCAGAGGACCACTCCCCTGTGAATGGGATGGAGGGCTCATTATTTGGGAGTGGAGTTCTTTCCAGAGGATTTCTCAGGGGAGGAAATGGGCACCTCTCTGAGGTGCTTTTCCAACATTTCCAGCTGGGAAAATTTATACTGAAGCCTAACCTGCAGTTTGAACTGGCGATTGCTGATCAGGGACTCTCTTTACAATTATGGACCCTTGGCCATAAGCATCTTCCCCTGTTTCTAGTCACCTTCTGAGAGGAGGCAAGAACCAAGACCTCCCTCTGCCTAGCCCCTCCAGATCTCAGAAAGAGAGCCCCAGGGGACTGGCTGAAGGCTTGCAGAATCAATGGCAGCAGGAAGAATAAAAGCCAGATTTCAAGAAGAACCTCCTGTCTCAGTAATAGGAGAAACATTTCTCCGGTAACCTTGAGTATCTTCTGAACAAGGAAACGGAGACCCAAAGAGGTCCAGCAACTGTCCAGAGTCACACAGCATGGACTTGTCTGAGCCAGGACCAAAACCCAAGTCTCCTGACTCCCAGGCCAGGGTTCCTGCCAGGGCTCCCCAGATGTCGACTGGGGGAGGGAGAAGGAGGGAGGGAGAGTGTGGGCAGCTCTCCTCCCTCGCCCACGTGCTGTCCAGCTGGCTGCCTCCCAGTCTCCTGGGCCCTGGGGAGTTTTCCAGCCTCTCTGGATGAGAACAATCAATCTCCTGCCTCCACCAGCCCCCCAGTATCCCCCATCCATGCCAAAGCCGAGGCCATGACCCAAGTTGAGAAAAGAGAATCTCCCTTCCATGCTCCTGCACCCTGAGTTCCCCCATCTCCAGCATTAGCCCTGGGCCTTCCTCACTGGATTCCATTCCACAGTGGCCACTAGGAGAGCCTGTCCTTCCACCCTCCTTCAACACCTGCCCCCTTTCTCCCAAACTTGGAGTGGGGGCCTAGGCAGCTGAGCTCCTCTCCGAGGCCCTGCACAGGCATCTGGGTCCTGTGCCACGGGCATGTGGGAGTAGGACTGAAGAGGGGGGTGTGGGCCTGAATGCTGGCACAGCTGTGCTCAGAGAATGGGGGCTTTGATAGCTTCTGAAAGAGGCCAGGAAGCACAAGACCCCAGCCCAGGGAGGAGGGGGTTGGGACAGAAATGGCTAGCATGGCTCTGAGGGCTCCCGCAGCCGCAGACAGGGAGTGTGCAGTGGGCGGGGAGTGGGGCAGTAGGGAGACAGCAATGGGACCTACAGCATCATCAGAGACCTCCCCCTGCAGCACTAGCAGGAGCCAGCTGTCCCTGTGAACTAACTGGTCAGACCCTCGCTTTGAGGATTGCAAACCCATGTGTTCAGAGGAGACCGTCAGTGTGTTCCATAAAGAATAGCCAGAGAGGCCTGGCGTGGTGGCTCTTACCTGTAATCCCAGCACTTTGGGAAGCCAAAGCAGGCAGATCACAAGGTCAGGAGTTCGAGACTAGCTTGGCCAGCATAGTGAAATCCCATCCCTACTGAAAATACACAAATTGGCCGGGCATGGTAGCACGTGCCTGTAGTCCCAGTTACTGGGGAGGCTGAGGCAGGAGAATTGCTTGAACTTAGGAGGCGGAGGTTGCAGTGAGTCAAGACCACTCCATTGCACTCCAGCCTGGGTGACAAAGTGAGACTCTGTCTCAAAAAAAAAAAAAAAAAAAGAAAGAAAAAAGAATAGCCAGAGGAACTGGGAATTGGAGGGCTGGAGCCTGAGTACATCTGAATCCACCTCTTGAGGTCCCACTGGAAGGCCGCCTGCTGCACCTCTCCCAGCTTCCTATGGGGAAGGACCACTCACCTCTCTGTGATGTTGGGGCAGGTGCTAATCTCTCTGTGCTTCAGTTTCCTCACCTGTAAAATGCCAATAACCCCTTGTTGTATGGTTTTGATGTTGGAACCATGTAAATGTTTTATATAATTAAAACACAAAATCAATTAGAGTTTACATTCATTTTAGGTCGAATTAAAAAGAAGAAAAATAAAGCAATCCCTACTAATATAAAACAAATTGTAACAAATGTACCTAACTGTATATGAAGTTGGAGCAAAGCCACATAGAATAATTTTCTTTCGGCTGGGCTCAGTGCTGTAATCCCAGCACTTAGGGAGGCAGAGGTGGGTGGATCACCTGAGGTCAGGAGTTTGAGATCAGCCTGGTCAACAAGGTGAAACCCCATCTCTACTAAAAATACAAAAATTAGCTGTGCATGGTGGTGCACGCCTGCAATCTCAGCTACTTGAGCAGCTGAGGCACCAGGATCGCTTGAACCTGGGAGGGAGAGGACGCAGTAAGCCAAGATTGTACCACTGCACTCCAGTCTGGGCGACAGAGTGAGACTCTGTCTCAAAAAAAAAATTTTTTTTTCAAGTGATTATGAAAGTCAGCATTTTGATTATATGTCTCCAACTCTCAAAGGGCAAAGGGAGCCATGGATAAATTTTAATGTTGGCAGTATTAGTTTGAACATTATTATAACACCCAGTCTACCATAATAAAGCAAATTAGTTATACATATATATATATATATATATTTTTTTTTTTTTTTTTTTTTTTTTTTTTGAGACGGAGTTTCGCTCTTGTTACCCAGGCTGGAGTGCAATGGCGCGATCTCGGCTCACCGCAACCTCTGCCTCCTGGGTTCAAGCAATTCTCCTGCCTCAGCCTCCTGAGTAGCTGGGATTACAGGCACGCGCCACCATGCCCAGCTAATTTTTTTGTATTTTTAGTAGAGACGGGGTTTCACCATGTTGACCAGGATGGTCTCGATCTCTCGACCTCGTGATCCACCCA